ATGGGGTTCGAATTCACAACCCTGAGATCAAGAATTGCAAGCTCCTCACTCTGAGCCAGTTGGGTGCCCCCAGAATTGGTACATTTTATTGCAAGTAATTCATACTTCAATAAAATAGATTATCTTAATTAAAAAAATGATACACAATAAAAGAACCCTATGCTAAATTATTACAAATTTATGGGTATCTACCCTTTCACTTTACTTATCAAACTTCCTAAGGGATTAACATTCAAATACATATATACACCGTAACCTGAGATTCTGAAATAAGACTGAATAGAAAACGTCATCAGTCAGTAGCCCCAGGTATCTGTGTCATGACATCTGTCTCCATTTGAACACTACACACAACATTCAATAAAACATGCTGAAAATGTTAGTGAGAAGTTTATAGTGAAATCATAATTTACTAGAACTCAAAAGCAGAAGCAAAACTACATTTACTTTCAAAAAAAAAACCCCACACTATTATGTATAATTCGGTGAAACACTCAATTTAGAGTTCTACCTACAAGAATCAATTACCAAGAATTGTTTATAATCTATTTTAGTAATTTCAAAGGAAAAAAATCCTTATTCTCAGTAATTTCTCATAAACTTTCATTTCCAAAAATTTGATGGTGAAAACAATACATTATGTCCTTTGCTACTTAGTATTGGAACACTAGAAGAACAAAAGTAAACAAATAGGGTTACACATTTACATGGACTTCAGTAACCCAGACAAAAGAACTTTTTCGTAATTTCATTACAGACACTATATTAAAATTGTAAAGTAGAATTATTTCAGCTTTCCTTTGTGCTTGGATGTGAGTGTGTCTATATGTGCGTAAGCAGTAAGATAAAAGTTTTAAATGAATAAATAACATCTAGACTATGCAGGGAAGACAGCATACATTTTGGCCAGTGCGTCACTATGAGCTTTGACTCTGAAAACGGCATGTCTTAGTATTCCAAGAGAAACACAGGCAGGCCATGAACCCAGAAGCAGTGACTAACCTACAAGAAAGAGTACACTTTAGTGATTCCCAACCTGGAGTCATGCCTAGGGTATGGCATGGTATCTGAAAACATCTATGTACAGGAAACACTATGTACACCCATGATAATTATGGGGTTTTTTTTTCCGTAGCTAGATACCATTGTTAATTAACAGAAAATTCACTTAAATACAATGCTATACCCAGAGTGGCATTTTGACATTACATATCTTCTCAATCAACTATGATGTGTAAGTACATGAAATTTTTAGAATTTAAAAAGGAGACCTCGTACTCCAAAAGATTAGAAATCATGGTACAGTTAAGAAACAAAACAAAACATTCTGCTCTAGGAGTCATGAGAAGTAGTTCCAGCTAAGTAACCCCTTTTAACCAAGCCCTTAACTTCACAGGGATTCTGTAAAATGAAAGCATATGAATGGTTCTACAACATCTTTTTAAAGTTTTTCCTCTCACATGCTGTAACAGTAATTCAGAAACTCGGTCAATGCCACAATTTTAGGTACCTGGTGATTTTTTTCCAAAATTATTTACTTTGTAGATAATTGGTTACTATAATTTATTACTGTAAGATAATTATCTCACAGAAAGTGTGGAGACCGGGACAAGAGAGTAATACTTGGAACCCCTGGTCTTACTGGGGAGCACACAGCCCTCGTCTAGGCCCTAACACTACACACAGCCCTCTCTCCCAGCACCTGCTTCCCTCACGACCGCACCAGCACACGCTGTCCTCTCCATCTCATCACTCAGTCCCTTCACGTCTGACTGAGTACCTCCGTGTATCAGTGTGCATATTTGTATGCATCTGTATAATGAAACACTGGAAGGATAAAAAAGAACCTAATAAAAATTTCTACTTTTACTAGAAGAATGAGCAGAAGGGTAGAAGCAGGACTTCTCTCTCTGTATACATGTTATACATTTTGTATACATTTTGATCTAGCACTGATTTTCTAAAAAATAAAATTTGATTTTAAAAATTTAAATGTTAAGTGAAATATGGTTATCGATTTTAATAGTATACTTAAAAGGGGAAGTCAGAAATCACTCAGTCCAACCTTCAACACACTAGGGATCACTTTAATAGTGCTTCATCATCTGCTTTCTAGAATATTAGAAAAAGGACGTAAAAAGAATGAACCAAAGTCAGGAGCCAGGGACACTACCAGTGAACAGGAAGGCAGTCTGAGACAACTGAGAGAAAGAAGCTGCAGAACACATCCCAACAGTCCCTGAATCACAGCAGCTTAAAGGCTGATTAATTTCAGCAACTGCAATGCTAAGTCCCTATTTGGGCTGTGTTCCCAGAATACAAAAGATGACTTTTAAAGAAGAAAAAAAGAAGTTCCCATCCTCAAGAAATCTGAGGCAAGACCACTTTATAAGCTTTAAGTTTCAGGAAACAAACCAGGTGCCGCTGGAATACAGATAGATGGAGAAGAGGAACCTTTGTGGGGCAGAAAGGGAAGAGGGAAAAGGAGTAACTTGAGGGGGTTGGGGGAACTAAGAAACCAACCAGTAAGTGAGGACAGTTTTTGAATATTACTACTTCAGAACATTACTACTTTAATAGAAATTAAAGCTCTAATTATGTGAAAGTCTGTATTCTTCAACAATAACAAATGAGGCCTGACTAAATTCAGATTTCTATACTGGTATAAATAAGTGTTCATTTTAACTCCGCAAAGAGATTTTATTAACTCAACTTATAATTAATGTGTACATACTAATAATGACAGACCCACCAAACTGCCTCTTTCAAATATATATAAGAAAAAAAAAACCTCTCAGAGAAATTTGAAAGAATGGTTCCATTATATACACTAACATAAATGATTACTAACATAAATGATTCACCCCAATTTTTCTATAATTCAAACATTGATTTTTTTTAACAAAATACAGTAACAAATTTCATGAGTGAAAACATATGGCAGAAGATTATCAAAGCACATACAACAAAGGAAATAAATTTGATGAACCCTCGAAAAAACAGTATTCGGGCCAACATGTTCATCTGGTATAAAAAACATTTGGTATATTACTTAATATGTCCCCAAAAAGGCAACCTATACTAAAAGAGTTGTAAACTGTTCTAAAGCATTAAAGCCTTTTTCAGGGTACTGATAAGGTGGAGATGCAAAACAAATGGACAGCAAAGGAGCAGGTAAAATAAAACCTCTACCGGTAACTACAGTGTCACAGTCAACCAACAGAAGACAGTCATGCCGGTAGCCTCGGTAACACTGAATTCTGAAGCACGTTATCACTGCCATTCCTCAAAGATCCAGGTCCCTGGGCCTTCCTTAAAGGCCCCCAAACTGCTCTACGTCTTTCTTCCCAACAAGTCCCTGAGCAGCCCTCCGAGGCCATCGGTCACGTGCTGGACTCAGTCACCTGGAGACATATTCACCTGGTCCTAAAGTCACAAATAACAAGAATCCTAATTCTCTCCATGTAAGCCCTCATACTGCTTAAGAAAAAATGAAAATGTACGTAAAGCCCGTATAAAAGTTGTTAACGGCCATTGCTGACTGACTCAGGGTGCCGCACTCCACCGGCACTCCAGGCCTCCGACACCCTTACCAGGCTGGCAGCCTTCCCTGCCTGTGACTCAGGTAGAAGCAGAAGCTCTACTGCAAATGGCCTTTCCCCAGCATCTGAGGATGATAATCCCACTCTCTCCAATTACCCAGCTGGGGCGTTGGTGGTATAGTGGTTAGCATAGCTGCCTTCCAATTACCCAGCTGGAGTTAAAATTAATCTTTTCAGGCATGCTACAGTACACTGAAAGCCAAAATATAACTCATTTACACTGAGTGTTTCCTAAATACCACAAAATTCTGCAGTATTTTATGGTGGAAGCCACAGAAGCTGAACCCTGACTGACTGAGGACTCTTGAGAACGAAACTGAAGCCTATCGCCCACAACAAAGGCACTCTACTCACTTTCTGTCATTCTCGGCATTGTTCAGTGTTTACTCTAAAGGTTTAACAGAGACTTGTTTAATGAATAAAATACTATATGTTGTTCCCTCAAATGTCTAATTGCCTGAAGGGGATTATCTCATTTATATTTTTACTGAAAAAAAAATTGTTCATGCTTCAGCCAACTTCTACTTTCATTTCTAAATGACAATGATACTGCTATGTTATCAGCATATACCTTCCTCATCTACATTTTTTCCTTGTTTTACTATTTTACTAGTTGAAACAGATTTATTCAATCTCATGGTATCGAAACAATTACAAATGGAAAATGCAAGATAACTTAATCTTTAGCTTTTGGTAAAACAGTATAATCAGGGGGAAAAAATCCTAATTTTCACTGCTGTAGATGCCAATTTAAAAATACAATCCATCGGGCGCCTGGGTGGCTCAGTTGGTTGGGCGGCTGCCTTCAGCTCAGGTCATGATCCTGGAGTCCCTGGATGGAGTCCTGCATCAGGCTCCCTGCTCAGCAGGGAGTCTGCTTCTCCCTCTGACCCTCCCCCCATCTCATGCGCTCTCTCTCTCTCAAAATAAATAAATAAAAATCTTAAAAAATAAATAAATAAATAAATAAAAAGACAATCCATGGACACATACTTAAGTAGGTGCTACTACAATCTCCAAAGCAAATGTCTACACTTAACACTTTTTACTGGGATAGCTACTGCTAGTCAATGAAAGTATTTTTTGATCAACAAATAAATACAGAGCACACTGTTATAGGTAGGAATCTCAACTTTTCCTTCCCAGCTAATCTTTCATAAATATCATACATGCATTACAAATATTTTAGTGGCTCAAATTATTTTTCCAACTTCCAAAACAATGAACAGAAAGTTCCTTAATACAAAGCATTTTTTCTCTTGTAAAACAGTAAAAAACAGACAAAGAAAATGTTGGTAAGAGAATTCAAATCACAGAACCCTTTATAATGGAAAATAGGCTATCACTGAGGAAAACTTAGACTACAGTTCAATGTCATAATAAAATTTATTTACATACCAGCACAGAATATGCCTGGGACTTCACTCCTGACTATTATGGTCCGCACTTTCTTATCAGATTTTAAAGCATCCACAGCTTTTGAGAGCTAAACAGATACAGGGAGGGCAAGCAGGAAAAAAAAAAAAAAAAGAGGAAAAATCACTTTCAGACTGGTGTCAACATTATATCTTAGTATTAGAAACAAACAGCTTAATCATTATACTCACAATTTTTATCAGATTTTTACTGAATGAATTTTTGGCATAAGCTCTGTTTATTCCAAGCACCACAATTCCTAGTGGGAAAAAAAAAAAGAAAACAGCACAAGTGTCTGAGTTAGTGAGTATTCAGGGTACAACTCCCGCACATACAGCTAGTTAACTTGGGACTTAGGAAATCTGCCCCTTCCTTGAGGTTCACGCCAAGAGCTTTGACCTTATTTTCATGTTTACCCTCCTGTTCAAGATAAGCATATTTTTAAACAATGTGGTATATGTAATATATAAGATCAATCTAGTACTTAATATGTACCTCTTTTCTTCTGCTTACTAGAACTTAATTAACATCCTGTCCCTTTCACTTTATCTCTTCTTAAGAACCACCAAGGTAAACTGGCACATTTTACTTAATGTACTTATTAGTGAAAAAAATGTGGTTTCATCATCTTCAAGTACATACAGAAGTAATAGCTAGCAAATCCTTGTCACAGGCAAGCCTTGTGGGACCAGCTTTTTTGCTAATGTAGCAGGAGTTAGCATCACATTTACCCTTTTTGTCATACTACATAGTTCTCAGTATTTCCATCCCAAATTTCTCTGCTGACTCTGTTCCACATACTTAACCTGAAGGCACTTCCATTTAGACAGTGTCCAACAAGTAATTCAACCTCGATCTATAAAAGCAAAGTTCATTCATCTTCTCCCATGAAGCCCAGCTCTCCCTTCCTAGCTTCTCTAATTCTCTCAGGAACCCACCATCCCATTCCAAGTGCTTCAGTCTGATGATCAATTTTCCAAAAACAATTATGCACAGAATCCACCCCTCCTTAAAATCCTTTGTCTCCAAAACATTTGCATTCAAAGACCTTAGCGTGATATTCAAAGCCCAATATGACCTGTACTTGACCTTGCTTGTCCCCTGAGTAAGCACAACTTTTCCCAGTGTAGGGAAATGCCTTCCACCACCTTGGGGGTGGGAGTGGGTACGATCCTTATTGTATATGAGTTAAACTGAAGACAACAAAATGTACACATGCTGTTTCTATGCAAGAAACCGCAAACCTATTTTTCAAAGAAAGTACAAAGATAAACTTCAGCTCACAGAATAAATTTTCAAGAATTCTAAATGATCTCAGCATGGAGAAAATCATGAAGAACTGGTATCTAGGGGCGCCTGGATGGCTCATTTGGTTAAGCGTCTGCCTTCGGCTCCGGTCATGATCCCAGGGTCCTGGGATGGAGCCCCGCATGGAGGTCCCTGCTCAATGGAGATCCTGCTTCTCCCTCTCCCTCTGCTGCTCCCCTAGCTTGTGCTCTCTCGCTGACTCTCGCGTTATCTCAAATAAATAAATAAATAAAATCTTTTAAAAAAATAAGTAAATAAGTATTAAAAAGAAAAAAAAAACTGGTATCTAGGGCAGGATCTACATTAAACCCCGAAGGGCAGCGCTGTCACTAATTAAGTGCTGTAGTATGTGCTGGACTCGGTTCCCAGGGCTTTGTGTTCATTAAGCCGTGTGACCCTCACAGCAACCCAAGAGGAAGGCACTGTTTTTATCCTATTGAACAGGAACCCCCAGAATGTGCATTCTTAATTTTAACAGATACTCCTAAAAAACATACTGTCTCTATTAACCGCCCCGCCAAAACACTAATAACCTATTTGTTCACAAGAGCAGACATCAGTGGGATGAAAAACGTCTTACAAGACATTTGGAAAATGTAAAGAAACATCTTGAAGCTGTCACAAGGTGGAATCCAGGGTTTGCAGGCCTGAAGCTTACAAAATCTAGGGAGCCCTTGTAAGTAAAAGAATACAAAATTACACACAGAATTAGGGACAGATATAAATATTAAAACCTTCAGAATTTTAAAAACTTGACAACTACTACATTTTTCTTTCCAATTATGTATGTGACCTACACTTCCTTCCCTACATCTCTGAATTTTTATATTTATCAATAATTCTGAAAAAATATACAAAACTAATCAAATGGAACTGTAAGGAACACCAAGTAGTCAAAACAATCTTGAAAAAGAAAGTTGGAAGTCTTAGTTGAAGGACTTAATCAAGACACTTCCTGATTTCAAAACTTACTATAAAGCTACAGTAAAAACAAATAGTGTGGTACTGGCATAAAGATAGACATACAGATCAACGGAACTGAGAGTCCAGAAATAATCACCTACACTTATGGTCAACTGGTTTTCAAAAAAGATACTGAGACCATTCAGTGCTAAAAGAATAGTCTTTTCAACAAATAGTGATGGGACAACTAGAGATTAACCATCAGAGAATGAAATTGGACCCTCTCCTCACACCATGTATAAAAATTATCTCAAAATGGATCTTAGACACACTATGAGACCTAAAACTATAACTCTCTCAGAAGGAAATAGGTACAAATCTTCACGACCTTGGATTAGGCAACAGTGTCTTAAATATGACAACAAAAGCACAAACAACAAAAGAAAAAACAAACCATAATTCATCAAATCAAGTAAAAAAAAAAAACCTCACAGAATAGAAAATATTTGCAAATCGTACATCTGCCACAGGATTAATATCCAGATTATAAAAGAATTTTTACTACCCACAACAAAAAAACAAACGACCAGAATGAAAAATGGGCAAAAGGTTTAAACAGGTATTTCTCCAAAGGAGATACACAAATTGCCAATAAGCACATGAAATGATGCTCAACATCATTTGTTATTAGGGCAACGCCAATCAACACGACCACGAGGCATCACCTCACAGCCAGGACAGCTATAATGAACAGCAAATGGAAACAAGCGTTGGCGAGCAGGGGGGAAACAGGAACCCCTGGGCACTGTTGAAGATGTTAAAATGGTGCAGCTGCTGTGGAAACCAGTCTGGTGGTTCTTCCAAAAACTAACATAAAATCACCCCACTGATTCTACTCCTATGTATCTACACAAGAGAAATGAACACATATGTTCAAACAAATAATTGTACACAGTGTTAAGCAGCATTATTCATAATATCCAAAAAGTAGAAACAAAACGTGGTATATCCATATAGTGGAATAAAAAATAAGAACAGTGAGTAAAATTATCATTCACAGCAAGAACTCAAGAGATGTTTAAAGTGTTGACCTTTGATGGCAGGGCCTGAAAATGAAAGGGTGGCACCCTTCCACGGTGCTTTTTTTGTTTCATCTTACCATGTGCATATATAATATTTTTACTTTAGAAATTCTGTAAACTTGAATAATTTAATTATTCTTACTAAAAAATAACATGTAATACACAAAGTACTAAAAACCAGTAACAGAGTATCTCCAATAAACCACATACAGACCCAGGTTCTTCAAAATACACCATTAAAAACCTGAAAACATAACCCACAAAATTGTGGGAAATTGTTTTGCGAATCATGTATCTGATAAGGGACTTGTATCCAGAATATATTAAAAATCTCTTACAATTCAACAGTAAAAAGACAAACCCAGTTAAAAAATGGGCAAAGGCTTTGAGAAGACATTTCTCTAAAGAAGATACATGCATGGCCAATAAACACATGAAAAGATACGCTACGTCATTAACCATTAGGAAACTCCAAAACAAAGCCACAAGGAGATACCACTTCATAGGCACCAGGACGGCTAGAATCAAAAACACAAATAACAAGTATCGGTCGGGATGTACAGAAACTAAAGCTCTCGTACCTCGCTTGGAGGGAATGTAAAATGCTGCAGCCACTCTGGAAAAGTTTGGTAGCTCCTCAAAATGTTAATCACAGAATTACCATGTGACCCGACAATTCCACTAAATGGAAGTGAAAAGAAACGTCCACAAAAATTCCCATGAATGCTCTAAGCAACATTGTTCACAATATCCAAAAAGTGGAAACAACCTAAATGTGTATGAATGATGAATAGACAAAACATGTCCTGATCTATCCAAACATGGGAATGTTATCCAACGATAAAAAGGAATGGATTACTGACACATGCTACAGCAAGGATGGACCTTGCAAACATAATGCTGAGTGAAAAAAGCCACGGAAGACCGTATCTGTGACTTCTTCATATGCAATGTCCAACACAGACAAAGCTACTGAGAGATACACGGCCCCAATTTTGTGGGAGGGGAGTGTGAGAATGCAGAGTCATGACTAAAGAAAACAGGGTTTCTTTCTGGATTGATAAAAATGTTCCAAAGTTGGATTGTGGTAATGGTGGCACAACTCTCTATATATACTAAAATCAATTGTACATTTTGAATTTTATGGTATGTGAATTATAGATCAATAAAGATTTAGAAATATATACATCTTGGGGCACCTAGGTGGCTCAGTCGGTTAAGCATCTGACTTCAGCTCAGGTCCTGGTCCCAGGGTCTTCAGCTGGGAGTCTGCTTGTCCCTCTCCCACCCCCTCTCCCCTGCTAGTGCTCTCTCTAGTACATACTCTCTCCCTCTCTCTCCCTCTCTCATATAAATAAATAAAAGCTTAAATATATATATACACACACACTTTAATACATATTTTTATAAATATAATTCCCATGCCATAAAATGTATGAAAATATGTTAAAAACATGAGAAAAGTAAATAAAAATAAACACATGAGAAAAATATATGAAAGAAATCAATCTACTAAAAACGAAAAGCAAGCAGATGTCAGAAGACCAGCTGGCAGACCCCAATGACAGTCCCCTTGGGAGATGGTGCTACCCCAGTGACAGTCCCCTTGGGAGATGGTGCTGGCTTGGACAAGAGCAGTGTTGGTAAAGAACACAGAGGAAAGTGGAAAGATTTCAGAGACATTCAGGAAGTCTTGATAATCTGGATGTAAACTATAAGCAAGGAACAGGTATCAAGAATGACTTGCATGATCCACTTGCTCTATTTCTGCCAGCAGTTTCTCCAACATGGTTCACAAAGGTCATCTTTGAAGTGGGTCACAATTATGAGCAGAAGCTTGCCAGACGGGGAGAAGTTTGGTAAGGGGAAGAGAGGTCATTCCATTCTGGGAGGTGCATGCAAAAGCACAAACAAAAGAGCAGCAAAGGCAAAGCTCAGACACAGCGGAGGGGAGATTGGAGACTGTGCCTGCAGGGAACTGGGAGCCACTAAAAGTTTCTAACTGAACAGGGCAGTCATTCTTGGCCTTGAAAAAAGGTAACCCCAGGACAAGTGTGAACAATAAACTGAGAAGGAGAATGACTGGTGAACAGCCAACCTATGAAGGAGAGACCTTGGTGAACCACGGCAAGGATTGCTGCTCTAAAAACCCAAGCAGATCAGACAACAAAGCAAGAAATAACTGCTACAGAAACCTGGTCCTGTAACTGCGCCTCCTCAACAAATTCCAAATATGGAACCCAGGCAACAGATGAGTGCTAACGTATTCTGCACTTACTCACCTCCAGCAGCCTAAAGAGGCCCACAGGGTATACAGCAGTTTGGGGCTCCTCTGACCCCGCCTCTCACTCTCTTATTCCTAGCGGGCTGCTGAGACCCTCAAATTCTGGACTGGCCTCAATGGAAGCAAACAGGGAGACTCCTTTACCTGCGGATTCCTTAACCTCATGTTTTTCTTTGCACTGCTTATTGCTGGTTCCCTAGTAAACCAAAGCATTTATAAGTTAGCCAAGCCTAAGCTGTCATTCAAAGGAAGCTGAATCAACTTTCTTAAGAAACCATGACTTCCTAATAGTGGATTTTTACATTTCAAGGTAACTATACACATCTGAATTTATTGAAGTGTTCTGTATGCTTTAATTTCTTCTCTTTGGTCCATTTGGATGCTAACTTAAGGACTATCCAGATGTTTTGTGAAATTTTACTTGCAATTTGCATTCATTTAAGTCATAAAGACAAAAAATACAGAATATGGTGCATATTACTCACTGCACCTGCAATTTCTGTATCTAATGTACCGCAGGGACACCTAATATAACTGAAATCCCAGTAAGACTAAGCTTACCCAAAAAGGCTCTAATCACTCCAGTCCCAAATCTACTTTCCAGGTGAATTTCTCAATACTCTGCCCGTCATGTCACAGTACTACACACATGCCCTACAGTACTTCCCAAAAACACAACACCTTCAGATTCCACACCTCCGACCATGCTCTGCTCTGTCTGGGGTAATAAACATTTAAATAACAAATGAAATAACTCCTCATACTCCACTAGGAGCATCCACTATGAGCTACATACTTAGTGGGCAATTTGTATTGACATTCTCATCTAATCTTCACAGAAGCCCTACAATGTTGGTATTATTTTTCCTATTATACACACACTAAAGTTGAGGCACAGAGGCAATTTGCCTAAGAACCGCCACTATTCCCAAATTCGACTGCCTGGTAAGGAATGCCTGGGAACCGATTTCATCTGGCCAAACCCTAACTCGACCCTCAGAATACCCCTCTCAAGTCCTCCAATCTCCCCAAATATAACTGATGGTAGGTCTCCTGGGGGTATTACAGCCCTTCCTTCTCACCAAGCCTTCAAAGTTAGCAGAGCCTTTTTGCCAGCAGCATCTTCCTCACTGTTAGAAGATGCTTAAAGACAGCAATCGTGACTTAACTTCTTTTGCCCTTCTGCTTAACGGATGACAGGTGCTCAGTAACTACGCGTCCAAATTAAATGACCGGTCCTCTGGCAAACTGCTATTCATTCTACCTTTCCCGACCCAAGTGGGCAAGTGAAAGGAACTGGGCTCCAACACTAACACCTCCGGTAGGCAGTTCCCGCCTCCACAGCCCGCCCCCTTTCCCCCGAGGTATTGTATTGCCAAAGCATCTGTCTCCTCCACCGCAGGTAGCTCAAGGGCAAGATCCGTATCACCCACAAGGGTCCCCAGAGCTTAACGCGGTACCCGGAAGACAAAAACAAGCTCAAAAAATGGTTTCAGTGAACTGAAATTCAGTCCCCCAAACTAACTTTAACTTTCTAAAATAAACAAGAGGAGAAATTGTTGCGGCTGCACAGCTTTAAGTGTGAGATTCTTCAGAATAAAATGCATTCTCACTGCAGCTTCTGAAACTCCACCTACCCACCCCCCCAAACCCCGATATTTGAGTTGACAGAAAGCAATTTAGAACAAGCACAAAACCTGGAAGCAAATATCACACACCCGGTTTATTGACCTTGGCTCGTCTAGAGATGAGGGCGTGAGCTGCATTTCTGTCTTCGGCGCTGAGTGGGACCACTTTTACAGGTAAGCTGCTCCAGAGTACACCTTTAGGCACCGAAAGGACTACAAGGGTGCAAGGCTGGGGTGGGGGGAGGGGAGGGGTCTCGACCCGGGCCGCTCAGCGGACACTGACGTCAGCCCAGACACTTGACCTTGCGACCCCTTCCCAGGACCCGCGGCTGCCAGCGCCGCGCCCCTCACCTCGGTTCTCCTCCTCCAGGTACCGCACCCGCAGCTCCTCCTCCATCTTCACTTCAGAGCTGTAGCCCCTCCGCGGGGCCGAGCCCCCGACCGCGGGAGCCCAGCCCCGGGCCCATATCGCCGGGGCGACCCGCGGGCCCATTAAGGAACCCGGCAGCCTCCACCCGGGGCCAAGCCGCACACAGCAAGAGGCCACCAAGCGAGCGCGGCTGGCCTGCAAGGTGCCCAAGGTCCCAGGCACCGCCGCCGCCGCCGCCGCCATCTTGTCTGTTTACGGCGTGGGCCTGCGGCGGCTGCCCCACCCCCGCCGCGCGCTCGCTACCGCGCGCACGCCGCCGGGCACGCCCACGCCCCGCCCCTGGAGCCTCCCTCTGGCACCGAGCCCCGCCCCAGACCCCGCCCCTCGCCGCCTCGCCCCGCCCAGGCCCTGTGACGTGGTGTTCCTGCGGCCCTTGCCCCGGCTTCCCCTGCCTGGCGTGCGGGTTAGAGGCTCGTCCAGCAGAGGCAGGAGGAAGTAGCTTTCCCAGGCTGTGGAATGGTTTAGGGGAATATGTTCTATAAGAACCCGCCGCTCTCCCTCGGATACGTACTGGGGTCCTATGTTAGCTGCAAGGGTGAGCTGACATGTTTGGCCTCAGGTTTGACTGGCTGGGTAGCAGCTCTGCGCGGGACTCCCGTTTATCCACGCATCTAAGAGCCACAAGTTTCAGTTACACGTGTCTGTGAACATGCGCAGTGCTTGCTGTGCGCAGTTCAGGAAGGGGGTGAGAACAGCCATTGCAGCAGCGGACCTCAGCCCACCACCTCAAGCAGGTGCAGTGGCCTTCCCCGAGTCCAGAGTCCCGGTAAGGCACCCTCTTCTTGACAGAATGGGCTCAGCCAAACCATATGCTGAGGTGGCATTGAGAGCATATGGCTCTTCCCTCAGCCACAAACGCAGAATATCAACTTAGTGGATAGGTGTTCATCAAAGCAGTTTGAAATGTCCTATCTAGTTTTTATCAAATCTCAGCCGACAAAAAGTGTGCTTAGGAATCCTGTTTGAAAAGTATGCTGCTTTGAGCATACTCCCACTGCCACGCAAATTTCTGCTATACATCCACCACATTTTTGGATCCTAAGCAAAACTTTCTTCAATATTATACCCTCAGCTCTGTCCAAAGTGGAAAGAAAAAGCCAGCTGGGTCCCGCGAGTGCGTCTGTTGTGGGAATGTTGTTGAGGGCACTTTTATTCGGTCTTCTCTAAAGAGCCACTTGTGAAATTTCTCTTGAAGTTTAGGACAAGGAAAAGCTTTGCTTCCCCTTTTCTGACACTCATGTTCACTCTGATGCTAGGAAACTCAAGAATTTTGGTCATAGCTCAACTGTTGCAATTATTGCAACTAATTTATTGTTCACTTTTATTAGTTGCTAATTGTTTTGCTATCTTTCTGTTGGCTCATCAACAGGTTATAAATTTAAATACAGGAGTTCCAGAACACCTGACACAGTGTTATTTAAAATAATATAACTTTATACAAACTTTCGGTTGTAAAATCGGTAAATCATAAGAAGTACAGCATAAGGAAGATAGTCAATACCTGGGTGGCTCAGTCGTTAAGGGTCTGCCTTCGGCTCAGGTCATGGTCCCAGCGTCCTGGGATCGAGCCCCGCATCGGGGGGTCCCTGCTCAGCGGGAAGCCTGCTTCTCCCTCTCCCACTCCCCCTGCTTGTGTTCCCTCTCTCGCTGTGTCTCTCTCTGTCAAATAAATAAAATCTTTTTAAAAAAAATAATGTAGAAACATTGTATAGCTGCAGATAGTAACTACACTTCTTGTGGTGAGCTTTCGTGGTTCATGTAATTACCAAATAACTATGCTTTATACCTGAAACTAGTATAACATTTCCTAAAAGATAAAAATTTTTTGAATTGAGTGCTGTGACCCTTAATAAAATATTATTAAAGAAAGAAGCAAGTAGATAAGAAATACTGTTTGGTTGCTTTGAAGAGCTATGTAACCCATCTTGTGCCACAATAATTGAATCCAGTTATAGTGATAATCTACAAGATTTTATTGTAGAGCCAGGAATGTTATACAACTCAATGACCACAACCACATAGCATAGGGAATATAGTTAATGGTACTGTAATAGGGTTGTATGGTGACAGACAGTAGCTACACTTGTGGTGGGCAGGGCATAAGGTATAGAGAAGGTGAATCATCATGTTGCACAGCTGAAACTAATGTAACATAGTGTGTCAACTATAGAAAATTTTTAAATGAAATGGACATGATGTAAGTTTGAAAATACATTCAACTGTTTATGAAAATTTCTAAATTACCGAGAGTACACATTCTATACTAAGTTTTTAATAGGGTCAGAAGAGAGATGTTCAGAAATTTGTTCAGGAACCATCAAAAAAAAAAACAAAGAATGTCAGAAAAATACAAATTATTTGTAAAGTGCCAAAGTTTCATATTTTAACAAAATGAAAAAGGTAAGCAAAAAATAATACAACCTCAGAAAATACTTGTGATTGATTAGAAAAACAATCATAGATTGTTTGGTTATATTAGAAATCCGACTAAGAAGGACAGCCCATGGTTTTGATGGGACAGAGCCTGATGGGAAAATGCAAGATAGAGACACTAGCTCCTTCCTTAATAATTTTACTTACTGAAAGACAGTCATAAGGATATCCCAGGCTGTGAAATTGATTCTTAAAAGTTAATGCAGATAGCAAATATCACCATGACCATTACATGTCAGGTCAGACAGATGTGGCTTTGGATCCCAGCTTAATAATTGCTTCACTTTGAGATAGCCATGAGTTATATAAATACTCCATGCTTCCATTTCTCCATTTGCAAGGGAGCTAGTATGATATCTGTTTCACCACATGAATTCTTTGGCCTCAGTTTCTTCGTCTAGAAAATGGGAGGGATTGTACCCATTCTGTAGGTTGATGAAATAAGCATATAAGGCACTTGGCACCAGGAAATGAGAACGAAATAGATAATATTAGCTACCACTTATCAACTTCCTTCTTAAATCATTTCGGACATTTAGATACGGTATTTTATTTAATGTCCAGACAACTTTGAAGTTGGTATTATTATCCTCATTTTGCAGATGAGAGCACTGAGATTAAGTTACTTATCAAACCCTGCAGCTAGTACATCATGAAGCTGGAATTTGAACTTTGGTATATCTGACTCCAGTCCCCATATTTGTAATCACTGTCATGCACAGCCTCTCCATAATGTTAAGGTGTCCCATAAAATTTAATTCCCTTTTGTTCCTTTCTAATTTTCAGTAGAAGATGTATGCCAGGAGGAGAGTGTGAGCCAGGAACATCGAGTATCAGTTTGGGAGAGGAAGGTAGGGCTGATGTTTGGGGATATTCTATTACTATTACTACCATCTATCTATAAGGATTGGGACCTTTGCCTCCAGCCAGCTCTCAGCTAACACTCTTTTTGGTTTGCCACACCCCTGACATTTGTCTAATGCTTACTTCCATATAGAATTAAGCATGTGCAATACAGGATGGCCAACCCTGAGCTGCTAGAACACAGGCAGCCTTGAATGGGAGAAGCCATCCCTCCGAGAACAGGGCTCTGTAGCATAAAACATGCAGGAGAACATAGGTGTCCCGGGTAAAATAAAACGCTTGCCAGCACCTTACCAACCACAGGTGGAGAGACAAAGCTAATTTAGCAAATGCTGTGTGACGAATAAAGGAGAACTCTTGTCTGGACTTTTCTGAAAATGGGAGTATATTCTTTTTTTTTTTTTTTTAAGATTTTATTTATTTATTTGAGAGAGAGGGAGCACAAGATGGGGGAGGGTCAGAGGGAGAAGCAGACTCCCTGCCAAGCAGGGAGCCCAATGCGGGACTCGATCCAGGGACTCCAGGATCATGACCTGAGCCGAAGGCAGTCGCTCAACCAACTGAGCCACCCAGGCGCCCCTGGGAGTATATTCTTAAAACTATCTTGCCTGAAACAATTGACGAGAAAGTAGTATATTAGCGTAAAGGCTGGGCCCCTGTATCTGAGACACCCATGAACGTGATGGGTTAGACGAGAGAGAATGTTAACAGTCCAGGCCTAGAAGATGGCTTAGCTATCTTCAACATGGGGCATCCCTCTCTGGGTCTAAAGTGGCTGCTCCCTACCACCAGCAGGACAGAGAAGGGGAGTACCCAGCTCTAGAATGGCCACCCATCCCTTCTGCTTCCCTTGGGCCACACCAGGCAGCAAAGTGGGCCTAAAAATGTATCCTTGTGCCAGGTAACATATACCCAGCTACGATTCTATTACTACATACAATGGTAGTAATTACAGATCGTCAAGAGCACAATCTGCTGCAGACTCTTTTGATTTTTTACTTTTAAACCAAAAGTTTCATAAATCCTGAGAGAAAGATTCACAGCCCTAAAATGTGACAGGTTTCACAAGAAACAACTGGAACTGCAAACTAAAGACGTTTGTCAACATGAGCTACTGGAAATAATTGCTATTATATCTTCAGAATTGAAGAGACAGTATAAAAGATAAGCATAAGACATTGTGTACACAATCACAACCATGTTAAATCTGTGAGGATCTACCAATACAGTGACACACAGAGATGCTTGTAATCTACATGTTCTACAATATAAAACTATGAGAAACTATTTCAAAATGATGTGTGCTCATAGATAATAAGAAAGTGATACAAAAATATATATATAATTGTCTTCAATGTGAGATCTTTGTGTAATTTTAATCTAGAGCTCTTTAAGTATTACATAGGCATTTTGAGTATCTATTACTTTAAGGCACAAAAAATGGTCACAGTACATTTCAAGAAGGGTGCAAAGTTTTACTCAAGCTTTAGTCCCAAAATAAAAAGTCAAAACAACAGCCCTTTTCAATTTCTTTGGGTCTCTTTTTAATGCTTTTAAATAGTCTTCTTTTTCAAGTGTTCTCTAAGTCTCCAGAGTGGATTTCCTCTCCGGAAACTCTCCCTTTCCCACCTAACCTGAATCCTCACCTCAGAGTGGGAGGGATTGAATGGCAAACCCAGAAAACCCCATGTCCAGAGTCTGGGAGGGTTCCAGTAAGCCTCACCCAAGGACATTGTCCCCTCAGAGAAGGTATGACAGGACACCCTCTGAAGAGGCCTCTTGACTGGATACTGCACTCCACCCCCTGCCAAGATTTTGTAGGTTCCATTTATAAGTACTGACCACAACCACATGTGCCTGTGAGCTCCCTCTACCTACAAGGCAAAAGATAAGTGTTGCACAAACAGAGAAACTGAGGCTT